GGCAATTCAAATCTGAATTTAATGATATAAAATATGATAATGTCTGAGCTAGTGGGATTATATAGGTGGGTTTACAACAGTGACACAACTTTCTGCATTCAATATAGCCGTTGCCTTTATATGGTCTCTACAGCCTGAAGATTGGCTTAATTTTGTAAATATGAAAAAAAGCTATCAAAAGAATGCCTTTAAAGACTTTATATTCGGATAGCAGAAATAATATTCTCCATGTTTCATTGGAAAGGATTTCTTACTAGACTTGGCTTGTTTGTTAGTTTGTATTTTAGATGGTGTCTTTTTTTGTATAATGATCTGCTTTCTTATTTGACAGGTAGCAACATGGCACACACAGTTATGTTATCTTGTCTTTACAAGCAAGCCAAAATCACCTTTTTATTGATATTCATATTGGGCTCAGTTATTTTCTATATAATAAATCGTGTAAGTTTCTGTGTTTCATATTGTGGGTGACCGGATGAAACCTTGTATGAGGATACATTTATTTGATGTGAAATTACTTTTCGAGAAAAACGAAAAACTATTTGTACACATATTTTGTTAAAAAAAAATTATATATTTTACTGCACACATGTTTATATACGTGTTATTTAATTGTGCAATGAGGGAAATTTTTTCAAGAAAGGACCATTACCTATCTCTTTTTTCCTTAATGTGGGCTCAGTTGGACCTTAGGACTGGCATAATCTGATCATCTGTTTAAGGTACTGGTAGCATCTTAGATAATCTAATCTATCTGTGGCTTGCAAACACAACTCAAAAATGACTATTGCAATCAGTTGCTCATATTGTATTTTAAGAAAACAAAAATGGATCTAATGGTCCTCATGAGAAACTACCAGCATTTCATAAAAGAGGATTTTAATGAAGTTTATTTATTTTATTTCAGACAAGTTTTTTCTCTCTGTTTAAGCCTATGCCTATAGTTTTAGAACATGTAAATATCAGTATTGCCCTCAAGAAGGTGAGATTTATATCAATTTTATATCTCTATTAAAATGTTACAGTTTGAACACAGGACATACTTAAGCAAAATATTTAGATAGTATGGGACAAATGAATATCGCCAGTTTAAAGGGATAGGGATTATGTTTAGAAAAATATTTGAAAATAAACAATGTAAAAAAGCATATACTTAAATTTGTTGTTTTATTTGTTAGGTTTATTACCCAGAAGTAAAGATTGATATATCAGTAAGTATTATTTTACCTTGTGAAAGTCAAAAAGTGTTGTATAATCTGATAGTGGAGGTTTATAATTTTCAACTTTTTTCTATCTATAACCCCTTTCAAGGTCCTTCATATATTGCATTACCCCCCTCCCCCCTATAAATGCTTATAATTTCATGATTTACTTTTAAGCTTTCTTTTTCTTGTCTGAGAATATAGTCTGAAGAAACAGAACGACTAAAAGCTTTATTGTTCACAAATTTTATGCTAGACTACAAAGGTCTTCATTATCCACGAAAATCTAAAAATTAATCCCTTGGGGGTAATAATCCTATGGTTGAAAACCCCTGGCTAATAGGCAGTATTTTTATATTGCTTATATCCTGTGGGATTTCCATGAAAAATAGTAACTATGTAGGTACATGATAATAAATGAAGATTATGATCATTTCAAATTGTATCCTCCCTGTGATCCTGAACTGTGTTAATACAATACTTCCTATAATTTTCATAAAAATTGGTGTGTTGGTATATAATGTAAAAGGGAAATAGATCTTTATCTTGGCAAATATTTGAGACCTTTTTCGAGAGTGGCTTCCATGAAAATGTTTACCTCATGATTTCATACCGTTTTATTTGTGTATATCAAGGATAGCATCAATTTGTACAATTTCAATTTTCAGTCTGTGGTTCCTACGTCACTAATCGCAAAATATACTGGTATCGCTTAAGGGCTATGTGATTAATGACATCATCAAACACATAGTTTTAGTGTAATTGCAGGAACCACAGACGTCTGATTGAAAATTGGAATGATGAAAATTGATGCTATACACATACAAACTTAAGGAAACCTTTTTGCAGTTCCTTTAAGGTTTGGGGGATAGTACAATGATCCTTGACTTATGTCAAAGTCTTATACATTGTATTACCAAATTGTTATATATATCTTGTATAGTCAGTAACAATAATCATCAAAGTTACAAGTGTTATTTTCCATAGGAATAATGAACATTAAAATGAAATAATTTGTATAGAACAATGAGGAACAATTTAAAGGGGCAAGTCATACAATTACAAAATATCGGATATTAAGGAAATGAGTTATTAAATTTCAAAATATATATCAAAATATAAAGATCAAAGTCAGAACAATTGACACTTAAAGGACAATAGTACAGAATTTTCAATATGATTTAATTATAGAATAAAAAAAAACAAATAGTTCTCTATTAAAATTAAAATAGTTCTCAACGAAAATTCAAGTAGTTTTTGCAACAAATAGCTCTTAATGAAAATTCAAATAGTTCTCAATTCAGATTAAAATAGTTTGTAAAAGAAATAGTTTTAAATAGAAATGAATGTTGTTCTCAAATAAAATTCAAATAGTTTATAATGAAATAATTTATAATGAAATAGTTGTCAATAAATCAGTTGTCAATGAAAATTCAAATAGTTCTCAATATAAAATGACATAGTTTTTAATGGAAATTCATATATTTTTGAATTCAGATTCAAATATTTTTTAATTCAGATTCAAATATTTCTGAATTCAGATTCAAATAGTTCTTAATTCAGAATCAAATAGTTTTCAGTGCTGACTGGGGGTTATGTCTTTAAAACATGTTTACAGATGAAATTGTTAATGATATCCAATTGCAGGAAAACGAAATTGAGCTCTATCACGTGGTAACCAACTGTACCCGGTAAACATACCAGAGCAGAAATCTAAAGGTTACAGGTTTAGTTTGTATAGAGATCTGGCCCAATAACCTTTTTGTTGACTTACAAGGCAATAGATAATTTTAGTTTAATGACTATGAGCTGATCAGTGACATATTATTAATGGGGTCAATTGAGAATAGTATGAATGGTGAAGAGTAATTAATGAGCTTTGACATCCCCCTTTTGACCTGCGAATCCATAACTCAACAAAGCAAGTACCACTACACAAATGAGTTATGCCCCCTCTCATTTCACCTGAAAACTTTGAAAATTAATGGAAGCAAGCATCAGAATTTTCTGAAATTTTGATGAAAATTAAGGACAAGTGAAAGTGCCTTTCTGTGAAGTTTCACGTCAATCATTGATCGAAGGTTATAAGCCTCTAATGATGATATGGGATTGTTCAAGCAACAGTAAGATGTGAATAATCATCGTACCGTTGCTAAAGGAAGATGTCCTTCTATAGGTATATATATATATATTAGAAAATATTTTCACTATTAAAATAGTGCCCAATACATATAAAAATACCATTGTTAAAATAGTGCTCAATACATCAATTATTCTAGAGCAATATAGATGTACCACTGTTATAATAGTAATCAATACATCAATTATTCTAGAGCAATATAGATGTACCACTGTTATAATAGTAATCAATACATCAATTATTCTAGAGCAATATAGATGTACCACTGTTAAAATAGTGATCAATACATCAATTATTCTAGAGCAATATAGATATACCACTGTTATAATAGTAATCAATACATCAATTATTCTAGAGCAATATAGATGTACCACTGTTATAATAGTAATCAATACATCAATTATTCTAGAGCAATATAGATGTACCACTGTTATAATAGTAATCAATACATCAATTATTCTAGAGCAATATAGATGTACCACTGTTAAAATAGTGATCAATACATCAATTATTCTAGAGCAATATAGATATACCACTGTTAAAATACTGATCAATACATCAATTATTCTAGAGCAATATAGATATACCACTGTTAAAATACTGATCAATACATCAATTATTCTAGAGCAATATAGATGTACCACTGTTAAAATAGTGATCAATACATCAATTATTCTAGAGCAATATAGATATACCACTGTTAAAATACTGATCAATACATCAATTATTCTAGAGCAATATAGATGTACCACTGTTAAAATACTGATCAATACCTCAATTATTCTAGAGCAATATAGATATACCACTGTTAAAATAGTGATCAATACATCAATTATTCTAGAGCAATATAGATATACCACTGTTAAAATACTGATCAATACCTCAATTATTCTA